GGACCAATTTATGCCCTATTTTTTTTTTCCCCCCTGTTCTGAGTCACTCTGCTACACCTCGGCCCCGTCCCGTTGTAAAGAAACAGATTCCAACAAGTTAACTTCAATTTTGTGTCTTCCCTATGTGGATAATTTTTGAAATAGGAACAATGAATGTATTTATAGCTATTTATTTCTGGGTGGTCGTTATCCTCTAGGCAAATCAGAACAAAGTTGCTCACAGTGGAAATTGGAAGACTTTTACTGTTAAATAAGTTTGACCCAACCTTTACCCACCAGTCACAAAGCAAAAAAAAAAAAAGTGTTTTATTGGACTTTTGTACATTGAAATGCGAATGTTTTTTCTTCATTAAAATTGGCAAGATTAAGGAAAAACGGCTTGTGATTTATAAACTGCTTGCAATTTGAAATTTTCCAGAAGCAGCTTTCTAGAGCAAGAAGATGCATCGAGTTCCTCTTCGCCACGCTGTGCCAGCAAAGGCAGAGACCTTCTCTAACGTAATGCTGATCATGAAAGTGCTGTTTTCCAGAGGTTCACTTTGGAAGTTATGCAAATTGTCTTGAGTTCACACACATCACACAATGGAATATAACGGTGATTTTTTTAGCTCTTTTCATGTTGAAAATACACTTTAAAAAGAAATGTATACTTTCAGGTATGATGAAAGTTTAAATTGTAGCATCTAACATGTTTCTCTGATGTTTGTCAGTAGATGCTTGAGAAGCAGTGTAATAAAGACATCTGTAGATAACTCTCAAATAGGAAAACATCCTCAGCGTTTTTTAAGATATGGAGGTAGAGCATCTCATAGACATGTATTACCAAAATGCTCGCTAGATGAGAAGCCAACTACTTTAGAAACACTAGTTAGGTAAAGTTCTGTTGCTGCCTGATTTCCTCCCAGTGCCCCCAGTAACCTCGGTAGGACAAACCTTGCTTAAGCCTCCATCTTTATAATATCACTTCCATTCTATTTTGAACCATTTTTTTTACTTACTCTGCTTACTGAAGGAGCAACCTGATTTCTCCTCTGTGTCAATGACAAAATCTGCCTGAACTTGAAGCTAGGTGAGCACACCTGCTGCTGCCAGGGTTGGGCAGCTCTCCTGGGTGCTTTCATCCTCCGTGCTGCAGTGGGGGGGGTTCCCTGTTTTCCCTTTCTTGATGAACAGTTTGATGGATATTTGTGACAGCAGGAGGTTGGGTTTGTAAATAGACATGTGGACATATGTGCACACACTTCCATTTAACAGCTCTGCTGCAAGGAGGGCTGTTGCAAGCCTGGAAACTGAAAGGCTCCATCTCAGTGGTAGAATACAAGTCTTGCTGTCATTTACAGGACTCATAACACAGAAGGAAAGGGGCCCTACAAGTTCACAAATACGGAACTAGTTGTGAAAATCTGAGAGAACCTTGTAGTGAATGTAAAACATTTAGTTGACTTTGGCAGACTTTGGTGTGACCTCCAGCAAAACTCAATGACGTTTCAATAAATTTGATGATAAAATGCTCTGTCTCTTGTCTTAGGTATTAGCAGTGGTGGTTTGATCATGAACTGGTGCTTAGCTGCATCGGGCTGTGTAGGAAGGTGGGAGTCCTCTGTGGATGCAGTACGGTGTTGTGACTCAAATGTGTGCTTCAATGTTAGCAGCAGTGGGGGAGAGGGGTTGGGTCAGAAGTTTGGTTTGGGATTCGGAGCAAAGTAACTCCTGGCTGGAACCTTGTGGCCATTTGGAATATGGAGCAGGTGCTTTTCTTTGTATGTTATGAGTGTGTGTTTCAATGTGCCAGGCTGAGCATTTTGCAGACGCTTCCATGCGATACGCTTGGAACTGAGCAGTGCTGTGGCTGTGGCTGTCTTCTTCTGTTACAGGTGCTGCTCACCCTGTATCCTATCCCTGCAAGGAAGGAATGGTCCCACTACGCAGACAGAATGGCCTTCAGTGTAAAAACTTCTTACATCCAATCTCCTTCTCCCCTCTTTGAGTTTGAGGCCATTTCCCCTTGTCCCATCACAGCAGACACACGCAGTGTGGCCGAGCCCTGCACACCAGGCAGGCTGTGTGCCAACGGGGAAGCAGCTCTGACTGTGTGTGGATGGGTTTCTGCTGCTGTAAATCGAAACTTGTACAGCTCCTTTTTGTAAATGCAAAACTGAATTCTCTCTCTCTTCTTTTTTCTCAGCTTGTTGAAGTTCCAGATGGCAAACCAACATGAAGCAGTGGAAGTGTAACATGGTTCTGTTATAATGGGTATGTAAACATGATATTTATTCACTGCAGTAGACTGCTGTGAACCATATTCTGCAGTAACCTTTCAAACCCGTCGCTTGGCTGCACGTAGGAGCGCGGTCTGAATGGACTCGCAAGGAGTGCCTGTGTTTCATTGAGAAGAACAGGGAAGCACAGGAGCTTTTTGCTGATACAACATCATGAAAGTGAGATGTATAAAGATAACGTGCTGCTCCATGAAGGTACTGCCATTTTTCTTGTGATTTAGCCCCGTGTTTTTAACTGATTGGCATTTGTGAAGGCTGTGAGTTCGTGCTGTGACTTTTCCTCTTTGCATGTGTTTGTGTTGGGAGGAGGAGCAGGTGGTGCTTGGACTGCTCTGATTTTAAGACTGTGACATAAACTTTTAGCACAATAGAAATATAAATAGCATTCAGTCAATTAAAGTGTATTCCTATCTCTTGAGCATTTAAATTGCAGCCAGGAAATGCCAGTCGCAGAAGTTACTCATTGCTAGAAAACACAGTCAAACCCTTTAAGCCATGGATTTTAAAAACAAATATCTCCTGGGGACTTCAGCAGTTCCAAATGGTCAGAGCTGACATAATGAAGCATGGCCCTTATCATAGAACGGCCTGGGTTGAAAAAGACCACAGTGATCATCCAGTTCCAACCCCCTGCTATGTGCAGGGTCGCCAACCAGCAGACCAGGCTGCCCAGAGCCACATCCAGCCTGGCCTTGAATGCCTGCAGGGATGGGGCATCCACAGCCTGGGGCAACCTGTGCCAGTGCCTCACCTCCCTCTGTGTGAGAAACTTCCTCCTAATATCTAACCTAAACCTCCTGTCTCAGTTTAAAACCATTCCCCCTTGTCCTATCACTACCCACCCTCACTAACAGCCATTCCCCCTCCTGTTTATACGCTCCCTTCAAGTACTGGAAGGCTGCAATGAGGTCCTGGCAATTCTGCTGGGTGAGGAAAAGCAGCAGCGCCTTTACGCAGTCCTTAAATTCAAACCAAGCCTTATCTGTAACGACTTTAATACGCAGTGTTTGTGTTGGGCAATTAGCTACAGCACGCGTTTACTCTCGCTTTCCATTAATTGGTAGATAATAGCATCTCCCAAAGTTAATATGAGCTCGAGCCAATGATGATCGATTGTGAAAGTTCAAGGCATCCTGTTGATTATTCAAGTATTCCTATGCTGGCAGCGGCGATGTCCCGGGCTGATCTTTGCCCTGGGATTGTCCCCTGACCTTCAGTGTCCCCAGGGATGGGGCGCCACCGCCCATGGGAGGCAATGCCACGACTGGGAGGTGCAGCCCTCGCCGTCTGCAGCGCAACAGGGAGAACCAAACTCTGCCAATAAGTGAAGTCCCTGCAAAAGCCCGGAAGCAAAATGGCTATAATTAAAACCTGACAGCAACGAGTTCATAAAGAAGTAAACGAAGAGGCGGGCTCTCTGTAAATGATGATCTAAAAAGCGTTCTGGGTTCTGAGACCTCATTTGGAATGTATTCATTAAGTAATATTTGAATCATTTAACAGTTTGAACTCTGCTGCGCTGTTAATATCTGAGGGGGATTTTTTTTTTTCCCGGTAACAAAGAGGTCTTTGTTCCGTCTGTGCTCGGGCTGTGCCTTGGATATGAGTGGGAAACCCGATAGCCTGACATTGCTCGAAGTCTGGGAGCACAATGTGAGTCGTCTGCAGCCGGGATTAAATCGGCCCTTTTGTCCATGTGATCCCGGAGCGGCGCTGCTGTGGGATGGCAGGAGATGTTTAACCCCTTGTGCTGGTGGTGGGCAGCCCGCTGTGTGCCACCTGTACCCAGAGGGGCTGTGGGACAGAAAGGGACAAATGCTGTAGCAGGGTTTGTAGTGATGGGATAATGGGAAATGGTTCCAAACTCAAAGAGGGGGGATTTGGGTTGGATGAAAAGATGAAGTTTTGACACTGAGGGCAGTGAGGCACTGCACAGGGTGCCCAGAGAGCTGGTGCTGCCCCATCCCTGCACACAGCCATGCTCAGGGCACGGGGCTGTGAGCACTGCTGGAGCTGTGGGTGTCCCTGTGCACTGCAGGCACTGGGAACAGACGGCCTTCGGGGGTCCTTTTCGATTCCAACCATTCTATGAAGTGGCAGAGAAGAACTTGCAGACACAGCGTAAAACAGCACCTGATGTCTGTATGTAAAAGAAAAGCACCAAGGTGAGCCCTCTGTGAACCAAACGCTCAGGGAAAATTAAGTCATCAAGACTTTACGAAATCGCCTCTGGTTTTCTGCTTTCACAATAGGTCGGTTTATAAGATGATGAAAAATGAATTAACTGCAGTGGTTTTCTGGCATCGCCCACGGTGAGCCCGACTTTCCAGATGCTCAGAGCTCATTCCTGCTTCACCACGCTGCCATAAATCCCACCTGCTTTGGGTTTAAGAAAACAGCAGAACAAAGTCAATCATACAAACTCCACCGTAAAATACCGAGGAGAGTTAAATACTGATTATCCGTATAGAGAGGTGCTATTTTTTATTTACGTCTCACCGACTTACTTTAGGAAATATAAAACCCTTACAGTTCCTGCGGCCTAACTAATCCTTTGGGGTGTTTATGTCAGCTAATTTGTTGGGGTTTGTGTTGTTTTTCTTCAACACAATCAGATGTGTGGAATCACAGACCCAGGTTGGAGTCGGAAGGGACCCCCGAAGGCTGTTCTGGTCCCACTGGGGGGACACCCACAGCTCCATCAGTGCTCACAGCCCCGTCCTGCTGAACACGTGTCATCCGTTTCACTTTTATCCCTCCGTTGTGCCTTTCAGTAGTTACACTGATACACCTGAAGGCTGATCTTAACCTTACAGAGCTGAGGTGTGAGCGGCACAGGAAAGCAAGCCGTGCCTCTGCTTGATGGAACAGCTTAAAAGACCTCTTGCTAACGGCGAGCTGAAGTTTTCCAGCATATGGGCTTGTTTTGTACAGTTATGTGTGGTTTTTCCTTAGATTCTCGGTGGTAATGAGCCCACACAGTTGATTGCTGCAGGGAGGAAAAAAAAAAGAGAAAAAAAAAATCGTCCTGAATAGGTTTGCTGAATAATTATGAACTGAGCTGAACTCTTACATTTGCTTACTAATTGTACGCTCCGTGATGTTTTATGTATGATGCATTCATTTTGTTAAAAAGGGATTTTTTTTTCTTTTTTTCTTCTTTTTTTTTTGCTGAGCAGCGACTTTTCTCAGCGCAAGTCGGCCTGGCACCGTGGAAAGAGCTGAATTCAGGGCTGATGAATTGATGGCGTTTGAATTGTTCTTCTTTTTTTTTTTTTTTTTTCCTTTTCTAAATCAACCCCACTATTTGGTTTGCAGAGCTTGCAATATGAAACCCCAAATCACACCATTGTCTTGAAAGTCGAAATCAATGAATCCTCTCCACTTCGGATTTGGCAGCAGCGACAGCTATTGTTAATTTAGAAAATAATCCCCTGCAGCTACCGCTATTTAAATAACGCCTTTCCCTCCTTCCCCCCACGATGGCCAAAACCCAAAGACCAAAAGTAAAAATACTGTTTGTAGGATAGACTTCTCCCTGTATGGAGAGGTTTCCCCATCCGGGCGCTCCATACCTGAGCTCCGGTGGCAGCGACAGCCCCAGCGCTCTGTTGGTGTGCACAGTGCAGGGCTCTGCTGCTGGGCACAGATGGGAGCTCAGGGTCCTGGAACATTTGGGGTGTTCAGCCAATGGACCGAGGGAGTCTCCATCCCACACGTGTGTGTTCTCCTTTGCAGTTCTTCTGACAGCGCTTCTTCCACCTGAGGAGCAAATGGACGCGGCATCTACCTGCACAGTAACGGGGTGAGCTGTCTTCATAGCTGAAAATCTCTTTGCCAAAAGATTTGGTCTCTTACATGGAAGCTGGTGTGCGTGAATTGTTGCAGGATAAGCCACTGAGACAACAGCCCTGGAGTTGGAGCAGAGCTGTGATGGCACATCGGCCTGAGGTCACACGGCAGTGGTGGGAGCTCCAGGCAGTGGGAACGCAGCACTGGCAGCAGTGAGTTTCCTCCTTCCACAGCCACGCTGTGCAGCTCTCATCACAGCCGCGGTGCAGAGCCCAGGCTGTCTCCCCAGAGAAGAGGCTGTGTATAAACGTGATGACAAAGCTGTGATAAAAAGGGTCGGCCGCAAATGGAATCCAATGTGATTACAGCAGTAATTAGTGTACAGTGCTGCTCCTGACAGGTACATCGTCCAGCAGGCACATGGCAACCTCAGTGGGAAATACCTTTGTGCAACCCTGGCATGAATACACTCACAGTGCCTCTGTGCACTGGTGTTGCTGTCATTTACAGCGCTCTCTATGCTCTGCTGCGTTTCAGGTTCGGACCCACAGAATGGTTTGAGTTGGAAGGACCCCCGAAGGCCAGCCATCTGGTCCCATTCCTTGCAGTGCACAGAGACACCCACAGCTCCATCAGTGCTCGGACCCCCCTCCAGCTCAATCCAGACTTTTCTTCAATTAAAAAGAAAACAAAAACAAATCCCCATTTAAATAGAACGCCTCTGTGGCCAGAGAAAGATTGGATCAAGAGGACATCAGTGACCATTTACACAACACACTGTTAACATTACGAATTAGAAGAGTGCGCCCCATCTACCCTAAAGGCAGAGCCGGAACTGTTCCCCCTCTACCCGGGAGCCCCGCACCGCGTCCCAGCCGCCCGTGCTGCTGCTGCGGCCCCGCGGGAGCTTCCGCAGCGCCCCGCGCCGCGCCCCGACGGCTCCGCTCGGCTCTCCCGGAGTGCTGCGCCGCGCGGCCGCCAGGGGGCGCTGCGCCCGTTCGCAAGACGCGCTCCGACGGCGCGCACGCAGGCGCAGAGGGACGCGGAGGGGCGCGCGGCGGCCGCGGGAGGAGCGCACGCGGAGCCCCGGGGCTGGGGGGAGTGATGGTGGTGGTGGTGGGAAGAGGGGGTCGGGCCCTGCGGGAGCCGCAAAACTGCGGGATCCGAACCGCTCCGCCTGCGGGGCTCCGCCGCTCCGCTTTGTCGGCGCCCTCCCCGCTGCGGTCGGAACTTCGCTTCTCCCCTTTGTGCCGCCGCCGGCCCCGAGCACCCCCGTCCCTCCGCTAAGTAATAATTTCCACGTCCGATTCCATTTCTTCTCCCGTTCTGAAATCTCCAAGCCATCAGCGAGGAGGATAGTTCACATGAAAACTAATTACACAAAATCAATATTTAATCACAGCGCGGCATCCTGATCCTGCAGAAAAAATCCCTTTAAAACTCTGCTGCCATACACAAATACTTCTCGGCCGCTTATTTATAGATCTCTCCCTCTCTTTTTTTTTTTTTTTTTCTTTTGGTGCGAGTAATTTCATTTTCTTCCTATTTTTTCTTCACTACGAAACGTGCGAGCTGCGAGCCCCACAGGTGCCGCTTCCCTCCCCATCCTCCCCGGGGTCCAAGCGGTGTTCTCACCCCGAGGGCGCCGCGCTCGGACCGCTCCGTTCCCGCTGCCCGGACCCGGGGCGGGCCGCCTCTCCCCGTCTCAGCCCTTATCGGGAGGGCTCCCACCGCGCGCCGCCGGGAGCGGCACCTCCCGGGCTCGGAGCGCCCGAATCCCGCCGCTCCGCTCCGCACCCCGACGGCCGGGCCGGGCGGGCGGGCATCGCTCCTCGCAGCTCCCCCCGCAACACCGCGGGGCAGCGGCCGGAGGGAGCGGAGCGAAGCGGGAGGGGCGAGGAGCCGGCGCGGCGGAGCCACCTTAACGGCGAGCCCCGCCCCGGGCCGCGCGGCGCTCATTGGCGCAGCCCCGATGGCTGAAATTCATCGCTGAAATGCAAAACTTGTTGCTGCTCCGCCAGCGCCGGCTGAGAGCGGGGGAGAGCGCGCGAGGGGAGCGCCGCGGAGCCCTCCGAGCGCCCGCACGCAGCGCCCGTCCCGGCCCCGCCGCCGCCCCCGGAGCCCCGCGCGTCCGGCGGACGGCGATGCGGCGCGCGGCTCCCGGGCGCCGGAGGAGCCTATGAGCGGCGGCGCGGCGCCCCGTCGGCTCCCGGGCAGCGCAGCGCCGGGCGGCAGCGAGCGGAGAGGCGCGGGGTGAGCGCGGGCGGGCGCGGCGCGATGTGAGCGGGGCGGCGGGGCAGCGGGCGGCCATGCGCTTCTGAGCCGCGCAGGATGTTCGGGCTGGAGCAGTTCGAGCCGCAGATGAGCAGCCGGAGCGGCGGGCAGGGGGAGCGCGGCTTCGGGCAGCCCGGACTGAGCATGAGCGCGCACTTCAAGGCGCCGGCCTTCCCCGGCGGCGGTCCGGCGGCCGCGGTGGACCCGGCCCTGGGCGCGCTGGGCGAGCCGCCCCTCCTCGGCATGAACATGAGCCTGCCCGGCGACGGCTACGGCTTTCCGGGCCGCGGCCCCGCGGAGCTGCACGGCGCCGGCATGCAGCCGCCCGTGCACGGCTTTTTCGGCGGGCAGCAGCCGCACGGCGGCCACGGCGGCGCGCACCACCCGCACCAGCACCAGCACCAACACCAGCACCAGCCGCACTTCGGCGGCAACTTCGGGCCCGACCCCGGCGCTTCTTGCGTGCACGGCGGCCGCCTCCTGGGCTACAACGGCGCGCTGGGCGGGCAGACGGCGTTCGCCGACGGCTACGAGCACATGGCCGAGAGCCAGGGCGCCGAGGGCTTCGGACAGCAGCGGGCCGGGAACCTGCCCGATTTCCAGCAGCACAGCGCCGGCGCCTCCGGACACGCCGTGCCGGCGCCCTGTCTGCCCCTCGACCAGTCCCCCAACCGCGCCGCCTCCTTCCACGGGCTGCCGGCGGCCGGCTCGTCCGAGCCCCACGGCCTGGAGCAGCGGCGGCTCCCCGCGCAGGACTCGCTGGAATACAATTACCCCGGCGACGGCCCCGCCGCGCACTTCGAGCTGCCCGTCTTCTCGCCGTCGGAGCCCGAGGGGCAGCTGCCGCACTACGGCGGCGGGCGGCAGGTGCCGGCGGGCGGCGGCTTCGCGGGGACGGCGCTGCCCCGGGCGCCGGGTATGGCCGTGGCCAAGGCGCAGCCCCCTCCGCCGCCGCCGCCGCAGCAGCAGCAGCACGGCGTTTTCTTTGAGCGCTTCGGGGGAGCGCGGAAGATGCCCGCCAGCCTGGAGCCGGTGGCCAGCACCAGGCACCCGCTGATGCAGCAGCAGCAGCCGCAGCAGCCGCCGGGCTTGCTGGCCAGACAGAACTCCTGCCCGCCGGCCATCCCTAGGCAACAGCAAACAGAAGCCAACGCTCCCAACCCCAACTTGCAGGACAATGGGCCGATAATGCAGAACCAGCACGCACAGTTTGAATACCCTATTCACAGACTGGAGAACAGGAATATGCATCCCTACGCCGACCCCGTGTTTAATATGCAGCACCCTCCTCCGCAACAGCCACCAAATCAAAGACTGCAGCACTTCGATGCCCCCTACGTGAGCGTCGCCAAGCGGCCGCGCTTCGACTTCCCCGGCAACCCCGGCGTCGAGCGCTGCGCCTCCTGGGCCGGCGGCATGCACGGCCCGGCCATGGAGAGCCACCTCTCCCCGACGTCTTACCCGGGGCTGCCGGGCGATTTCACCCCGCCGGCTCCCGACGCCTTCGTAGGGCCGCTGCCGCACGGCGGCCCCGAGCACCCGGCGCTGGCGCAGCGCCAGAACGCGGCCCTGGTGATGAAGCAGATGGCCTCGCGCAGCCAGCAGCGCCTGCGGCCGCCCAGCCTGCAGCAGCTGGGGCACCACGGCGAGGTGGGTCCCGCCGGCTCCCTGCCGCCGCCCGGCTTCGAGCGCGAGGCCGCCGCCGCCCGCGGCTTCGACGCTCCGGCGCCGCACCTGGCGCCCGACGGCACGTGGTTCGCGGGGCCGCCGCCGCCGCCCGGGGAGCTGCTGCCTCGGCGCATGGCGGGGCCGGGGCTGCCGGCCGAGCCGGCCCCCCACGAGCTGGGCCTGCAGCCGGGCGGCGCAGCCGTGCTCTTCCGGCCGGGCGCCGGCGCGCTGGGGCTGCAGGAGCCGCTGCGGATGGCGGGCGAAGGCCCGGCGCAGGCCCTGCCCTCGCCCGGCGTCCACCCGCCCTTCGCGCCCGCCGTGGGCGGCCTCTCGCAGCTGCAGTCCCCCGGCGGCGGCGTGGCCCTTCCCAGCGCTCCGGCCGAGCGTCGCGGCCCCGCCGACTTCGCGGCCCAGCCCGGCTTCCCCTTCGGGGCGGCGGCGCGGCAGCCCCCGGCGCACGGCAGCGCGCCCGCCCTCAGCGCCTCGCCCGGCGCCTACCCACCGCCCCCGCCCGAGTTCCCCCCGCCGCCGCCGCCACCGCGGCCCGCGGCCAGCAAGCTGGGCGCGCTGTCGCTGGGCTCCTTCAGCAAGCCGGCCGGCAAGGACAACGTGTTCGGCCAGAGCTGCCTGGCCGCCCTCTCCACCGCCTGCCAGAACATGATCGCCAGTCTGGGCGCCCCCAACCTCAACGTCACCTTCAACAAGAAGAGCCCGGCCGAGGCCAAGCGCAAGCTGAGCCAGGCCGAGCCCGACCCGCCGCCGCCCGCCGCCCCGGACTACTTCCCGGCGGGGCCGACGGCGGGCGGGGGCGCGGGCAAGGCCGCCCCGCTGCTGCCCGCCGAGAGCAGCCTCTCGCCCGGCTTCGCGCTGGAGCCGCCGGCCGGCGGCGAGGGGAAGGCGGGCGGCGGGCGGGGGCGGGGCCGCCGGAAACGGGACAGCGGGCACGTCAGCCCCGGCACCTTCTTCGAGAAGTTCTCGGCCGCGGAGGGCGGCGGGGCGGGCGTCAGCCCGGGGCAACCGGCGCCTCCGGCCGCGGGGGGGGCCGCCGGGGGCCGCGGGCGCGGAGCGCGGCGGGGGCACGCCCCACGATAAGCCCCTGACCTCGCCCTCCTGGGGCAAGGGCGGCGAGCTGCTGCTGGGGGAGCAGCCCGACCTCATGTCCTCGCTGGACAGCGGCATCCAGAGCGTGACCAAGTCGGACGGCGGCTCCCCGCACGTGGACTTCGCCGACGAGGTCAGCACCAGCTACGGCAACGAAGACGAGGTGTCCTCCAGCTCCGACAACGCCGGCCCCAAACCCACGCGCAGCCCGCTGCTGGGCGGCTCGCCCAAGCTGCCCCGCGGGGAGCACGCGCTGCTCAACGGACAGAAGCCCCTGGCCCTCGGCCTCCTCAATACATCTACCTCGACCCCCGACAGCTACGGGCTCAGCAGCACGGCGGGCGCGCACCCTGGCACGCCGGGCATGGAGCAGGTGCGGACCCCCACCAGCACCTCGGCCCAGGACGAGATCCACCCTCTGGAGATCCTGCAGGCGCAGATCCAGCTCCAGCGGCAGCAGTTCAGCATCTCGGAAGACCAACCCTTGGGGTTGAAGAGCAAAAAGGGGGAGTGTGCGGGGCAGAATGGGGACAGTGACCTGGGCGGGTGTTGTTCAGAGGGTGTCAAGAACGCTATGAGCACCATTGACCTGGACTCCCTGATGGCGGAGCACAACTCCACCTGGTACCTGCCCGGTGAGAAGGCCCTGATGGAGGGGCAGGAGGAAGACAAGCCCATGGCGCCGTGGGAGAAGCCCAAGCCCCAGAATCCCAGCAAAGAAGGTATCTGCTGTCCCGCGCGCATTCTGGCCCACGGGGGGGGACTGTGGGCTGCCGTTGAGGTTACCAGGCATGCACCAACCTCACCCTGCCTCACAGCTCGGTGGGGCAGCAGTGCTGGGGACAAAGCGCCCACAGCCCGGCGGGGCCCAGGGTCATGGTTCTGAGCTTAGTGGCCACCTGCAGAGCACTGAGGTGTGGGGGCTCAGCCAGATGCTGGGGGGGGCGTTGAGGGGCTCCACTGCTGTGCTTTGCATCTGCTTCCTCTGAACTTTTAGAGAGATCTGTCCAAGCCGTGGGAACATGTATTTGTTAGTGATCCCCGTGCAGTTTCAGGTACTTTCCTGCATGTGCCAGGAGCCGGGTAGCAGGGTGGTGCTCTTGGTTTTTATTTTTTTAGTGAGAAGGAAATTTAAGTTTAGATTCTGGGTCCACTGGTGTAAAACTTGCTTAGCTGGCAGATGTTTCATTTTGGCATTCATTGTCATTTTTGATCCTTCCCCGTGCCCACAGGGCATCCTAATTCTCCGAGCTCGGAAAAAAATATTCTAATGAGAACTCCCTATGATAAAGGCTGTTTAAGATAAAGGCGATTATGGATTCAGTCGGTTTCTGTTCTGTCGTCTCACGGCTGTATTTTAGAGCTCCCTGCCCACCATGGGGACGTTACAATGGGCACACGTGTCTGAGGGCACACGGGTGGTTGTGTGACGTGCCACAAGTGCACGTGCATGACTTCCACGCTAGAAATGCATTATTTCAGCCCAGGGAAGTTGCAGTTTTGGCACAACGGCATAGTTTGGAATTGTTTTTGTTAGGCTAGGTCTTACAGACCGACTTTTTACTGCGTTTTGTGCTCGGCAATCTCACTAAGGAAGGCGTTGGGAAATGAGATGGAGCTCAGGTGCTTGGGGCATCGTCAGTTCCCCACTCCCAGTTCTGGTCGGTGCTCCAGCTTCGGCTTTCTGAAGCGTGAATCCTCGCCCCCACTGTTTGTCTCTTTGTTCATGGTTAATGCCCAGCTCAGGAGACTCTCATTTGAAGCGGGAGTGTTTAGCATGCACAGCAGACTGTAGGAAGCCCATCAGCATTCTCCGTGCTTCACCCAGGCAAGGACATAAATTGGTTTGTTTGGGGCCTTTCTTTTCCATTTTTAAATGGAGTTGCACACAGCATCCTTCCTGGCCCCTTCTCTTTTATTGTTTCTTGTACACAACATCTCGATCTGACTGGATCAATAGCTAGTTAGCACAAATCACAGCTCCTGTCAGTTCCACCTTGGCAGACTCTGCACACAGACACGCTCGCCCTCCCTCCGTCACACATCCCCTTGCACACGCATGCACAGCCGTGAACGCACCGCCTTGTGCTTAAGAACAGATCGCAAAAGGAGAATTTATTCCCTAAACCCTAATTCCATAGATTTAAAAAAAGAAAAAAAAACCAGCCGTGAACAGTCTGCACGTTTATTAAAAGTGCAGTTTGGCTTAGAACTCGGTGTGTTTTGTTTGTGTGTGCGTGGCGTGGAGCGGTGCCTTCTTTCACAGCACTCCTACGTGCATTTGGATCACCGCTATTCTTAGTAACATCTTGAGCAATACGTCCCTGGTCGCGATAAGCACAGCGCTGCTGTTGGAGCAGCTCATCACTCAGAAGGAAACCATTCCATCGTGGGTCCTACATAAGGACGGGTTTGGGTATTTCAGAGGCACAAAACAGCCGGCTGGTTTTACAGCAGCGGACAGAGGCACTGTTTGGTTTCACCCTTCTGTCGCTGGAAGGGTTCAAATGGCAAAACTCGGGGACACCGGCAGAGAATTTTCCTTGACTGTGGTTCTCTGGCACACAATTCCTTGTGCTGACACACAATGTAGCGGGAGAGAAAATGTTCTTTGCTTGAATCTGATGGTGAAACCTGCGATCTCGTTGGTTCTCCTTGGGTGCAGGGGTAGGGGGAGGAGGACACGGTGATGCATGGGGCTGACTGCAGCGCTGGGCTCTGTGCTGCCTTCGTGCTGCTCTCCTCTGCTGCGTGCTGGGGGGGGGAGGACCAGGGCTCCGATTCCACTGTGGCTCTCAGAGGGCTCTTTGTGATTGAGGAGCTCCTTAAAACTCAGCAGCACCAGAAGCACATGCGAGTGATGCCCGGATTGCTGGGGGAGACAACTTGTTCGAGTTGTTTTCGTGGCTGTTCGCATTCCTTATGATTCATCTCTTTTTTCATGCTGATGCCGGTAGTGAAATAATTAGCTAATTACCTGGCAGTCTGTGCAAGCTGTGAGATTTAAAGGTAGATGAGGACAGATAATGGTATTTCAGACTGCAGTTCACATGCACTTGTCTTATTTAGTAACAAGCTTTAGTCAGGCATTGTCTGTGACTCATAGTTTCTTGTACCAGCACCTCCTTGGTGACGGCCGATCGCTCCTTCCCCTGTCTATAACATCACACTCTGCTCTGCCGTGGAGCTACAGCCGGCAGAGAAACATCACAGTGCTCAGCCTGGAGAGCTCCTGTTGACTTCCAGTAGCGTGGCTCTAGCTGACAAAGAGCAACTCGATCCCATTCACGTGAAAACCAGCTCTAGTTCAGCAGCTTTTTGCTTTGCTTGGTTTCACTGAAGCACAGCGATTTCCCTTCAGCGCGGTGTTGATTGCTGTTCTCCAGAAACCCATTCACTGAGTTCTGTCGGGCTCTTGGTGTTCGTTCTTAATTGATGTTTGGGAGGTCCCGTGCTGCATGTGCCAGGTGAGGACATCCACGTGCAACCCAGAACCGTGCAGGCGCTGATGGCAAAAATCAGAGCGCAGTCCGAGAGCTGCGCGGCCGTCGTGCTGTGCTGGGCGCAGCACTGCTTTGTGCTTCATCCTTCAGTTGGTGTTCATATTCCATCATAACACCCAACCTAGCATTCGTGGGAGCCGGGAGGGCACAGCTCTTGGTGCAGCAGTGGGTGACGTGTGTAAGTTACTACCAAACGTATTCACAAAGGACAAATTTGGTCCTGCTGAGGCGCTGGGAGCCTTTGTTTTCTTTCTTTTCCCAGTGCGTGCTTTTGTTGTCAGCACTGCTAAATTCGGAGAGGTTTTTCTGGGGGATGAGGCTTGTTTGCTGAGGCTGAGTGTGTTGGATATGTTGAGGGGTGTTTCATGCGCTGAAATAGCGTTGGGAGCAGTGCATGGTTTGGTGCCATTGTAAGGATTGCTGGAAGTGAGTTCATTGACTGCGCTGGGTGCACTCGGCGGTGATGAATGTGTGTTTCCTGATGCTGCTTTGTTTGCCTGAAAGAGAAGGGGAGAGTTTGCAATATTGCTAGAGCTGCTATAATGCAGCACTGGATGCATAAGTGTGTGAATTTGTTGGCATTTCAGCTCCTCCCGTGGCCGCTCCATTTGCCCTTTCGTCCACAGACCTGCGGCTGTGTCAGAACTAAGGCACATCACCAACATGCTCTGCACCTTTGCACTTTCTTTTAACAAAGTGTGCTGTCTTATAATGGCACATTCAGTTGTGGGATAACAGGGATGTGTAAATGGCAAAATATCTGTATGTGGCCATGTGAAATCTTAGTGCTGGGCAAATGGCTGTGTGTTTTTAGTCTCTCATATCACATATATTTCTAAAGTGGCAGAGTAGCCACAGAAAACATGAAGCCAGCTCTACAGTGAATCTTCAGGTGGCCCAACTTGCATGCTGGTTTTTGTACAAGATTTCCCAAAATGGAGCAGTTTTAATGCCTCATTCGTAGAGCACACTTAGAAAAAGTGACCGGTCACATCATGCTCTGTGGGATCCTTCCCATTTTGGTTACAGGCACCAGCGGCCCCGCATGGCACTGCCTCTGTCCCTGTGCCTTTTTCTTCCACTTTAAAAATCCTAGCCTCCAAAAGCAGCCAAGTTTCATCTGTACATGCACGCCTGTATTTTGGGGGGCACATTTAAGGCTGGGGTGGGTATTCTGAAGCACAGCATTCCTCGTTTCATTTGTTTGAGGGGTGTTTTTAAGAGGGAGCTCCTGTTGAGGTGTGTGCTTTGCTTCTGTACTTTTCCCCAGGAGTTTTTGGGTGGAAATACCTGATGGAAATTATAATAAGTGAGGCTGTCCGGTCTTCGAGGAATTCAGGGTCCACCCTGGCTTTCCCCATCTGGGATTTTTCAGCTTTTAACACGTAAAGCAGGTTTTTTTCTATTTTGCTGATAGTGCTCAGACAGCTGGCTTGTATAAAAATACCATCATTCTTCACTTTTCCTTTGCAAAAACTTTTCATTTTGGTTGATGCCGTTAAAACATGACTGATTATTAAGGCATTACTAATTACTGGGGGCCCTTTTAACGCAAAGGCTTTTTTGGTACAAGTTTAATACATTTTATGGGTGATGCTTCTGAGCCATATCCCGGGGATCTCGCTCCCCAGGGTGCATGTGTGTGTTGGTCACTTGTAGCTCCCAAAGGTGGATTGCTCCTTGTCTGTGCGCTCAGCTCGTGCTGGGTGTCTGTCGTTGCATAAGTTGTGTGCGTTTGGTTTTAATTTTATCAAATCTATCTGTGCCTGCTTGGTATTTGAGCTTAAAAATGCAGTGCATGACGCTGCACCGTCCAGATTTTTTATTAGTTTTTGAGGTTTGTCTGAAGGAGCTTTTTCGGTTTGGGAAGCTGCAATCTGGTTGTGTTTAAGTGCTGCCTCGATAGATTTCTGCATTAAAATAAATACGGTTTAGTTGAGAGCAAACACAGAAATAACACACGTATGAGCTGTGAGGAGCTCTGCTGGTCCTTTGCAGAACGTTGTACTGGAGGTTGTCTGCAGCCTCTCCCTGTCAGCCACCCTGCCCAACCTCTTGGATCTCTCTTGGAGCCTTTAAAAGCGAGATGTGAACAGTGAGGCGCTGCCTTTTCTTCTCTTAACTCTCTTAGCTTCAGTTCTGGCTGCTGGGCCTTCAGCACTTGGTATATTCTCCATCGCAGAGAAGCTTTTAATCAGAGAGCGGTTGTGAGAGCGTGG